TATTTTTTAACGTAGTTTTCTGAATAAAGAAAAATTAAATAAAGTAATGGGGATTAATGAACTAAAAAGTTCCATTGGCGTTAGCGGGGATCAATGAATAAAAAGTTCACTAATCCCCGGGATTAGTGGAATAAGCCTTTGAAAGGCTCTGAAAGGCTTTAAAAGTGGTACCACGGTCTACTATACAATAATTCACATTGAAACATCCTGATCATCGCTCTAAACCCGGTCCGTTCACAATTTTAACTGACGAGGAAGAACAGCTTTTTGTTGACTGGATAAAATAAAAATCAGTAGCAAAAAAGGATTTCCGAAGAGAAAAGAAGATTTGATAAAAGTGTTTATGGAAAGTTTAAAAGCGTTTGAACTGATATGGTATGTTCCTATACAAATAAATGTTACTTTTCTTTTAAAAAAGGATTTTATTTTGTTTATTTCTATCATGAATTATCTTTAAATAGATAATAGATGATGTAGAATACTCTTTAAAACCTCTACATAAGACCTAGCAGCTATTTTTCAGTCTTGCGAGAACAGTGCCAATAATAGGTAATTATCACTGCCAATAAAAGGTTTGGCTATGCCAGTAACTGGTATTTTGAGGTAATTTTTTAAAAGGTACACCATATTGATTAAATGATTTAATTTATTAATGATAAGTACTTTATAATATTCTCCAAAGATTAAAAGACCAATATAAATGTTTCTTTCTTTGATAAAACATATTTTTACATGCAAATTTTACCGGTTTTGTGAAGTAGCTGCTTAAAGTGCCAATAATTGAGTGGTTTACCCTATCATTGATATTTAATATTCAACCGTATATTTGTGTGGCGCTAGTGCTAATATCCAGTGATATTATACTTGTTTTGAAATGTATGATTAGTTGACAAAAACGCCATCAACTAGATATAAAAATCTATGGAAGAATTGTGTTTTGACGCCTATTAAAAGTTCGTCAATCAATTGACTGCTGTTCTCAAATACCCTATGAATATCAGTTTTAATAAAACCACAGAATAATAATAAGTACTACGTACAGAAGTTTTACTTCGCGAAGTTATTTAAAAAAATGTATGCTCAATGTCATTAACAATATGGTGTAATTTAGCCTGTCTCAAGAGTCGAGCACCATTTTGTTGACAAACGTCAGTGATCGGCACTGCGCCGAAGCTATAGGGCTGACTTCGGTAAAATGATGTGACAAACTGCGGAAAATGGCGGAGGAAATACATGATTTAGCATGAATTATCATGAATAATATTAACTACTTATTTACCTCTCAGTGTCTTGAGGCAACTTAAAAAGTACATTCTGTGTTTTAATATTATTTAGGCAGTTAAATACTGCACAATATTCAGTACACCATTTTCTTTATTTTCTTCCATCATACACAAGAATACGCGTGCGCGAGTCAATGTTCGCTCGTATGTGGGGCCTTGTCGAATAGTATCCTGTAGGTGGGCCATCGTGCGTGTTTTGTTTTCGATGTAAACTCGCGTAGATGAACAGGCCTGGTATTACCATCTGATGGATTTTTCATTCGCGAAAACCCTCATTGACTGCTGTTCTTAAATACCCTATGAATATTAGTTTTAATAAAACTATCAACTTTTCTTTTATCAGGAGTGGAAGAAATCGAAACGGACGTGGGCAAATTCCTCAGAGAGCCGACGATAGAGAACCTGAACCGGTTAGGCGCAAATGCTGCTGACGTCATAGACACACATCTACAGGTAAGAAATTAGTCTTGCAAAACTGTTCAAATATATTTGCGCAACGTATTTGCAAAGAGGAAAACTTTTTCAAACATCAGTGTTCTTACCATGAGTTTAAGTTAGGTGTGCTTGCTAGCGACTGCGTAAAAAAAATGTCATGAAATGTATGACAAAATGTATAGCGCCCCTAGCGGCTACTTTCAAGAACTAAAATCTTCATACATTCTTTTGACGTACTTGCTAGCGAGTGCACCACGTAAACTCATACAAGTACAAGGACAAACATGTGTGTACACATCTTGACACATATCTGTGAACGACATTATAGAAAACAGCCTTCAATGGCAGGAATGTTAAATTTTTCTTTGATTTTAGACCTTATGATAAATTAATAAGATTCAATGTTGGGTGGCTATATACTCGTATGTAGCCAGTACCCTTTAAAGTCATTATTTACCTGTCATCATCATCATCATCATTTCAGCCACATGAACATAGGCCTCCCCCAATGATTTCCACATCGCCCGGTTGGTAGCGGCCTGCATCCAGCGCCTTCCTGCTACCTTTATGAGGTCATCGGTCCACCTTGTGGGTGAACAACATCCTACGCTGTGTTTTCCGATAGTTCCCTATATAACCTAAATTTTCTTTGTTGCAGTCAATAAAAGACACCTCAGATCTCATACAAGCGTACGTCGAAGCCACCTTCTGCGTCTCAGGGTTATCAGACCAGAACGCTTCAGCAGCAGAGGTCGCGAGGAAAATGTACCCTCTTCTAGTCAAGAGGGCAGGCCAGAGACACGCGGCGGCCTGGGTTTTGGCTGACACCATGCTAAGAGGATTGGGGCTGATCAAGGTAGGATGGGTGACCGCCAAAACTGTCCTAGAAAGCCTTCCACGTGTAGATCAAAAGTACCAGGACAACATAGGTTCCTACAGAGTTCTTCAGTAAGTAATAAGGGTCTGGAGCTGGTCAAAGTAGGATGGGTGACCGCCCGTTAGTAGCTTAAAACCTTCATTGACAGCTTGCGACTCCATGTCATAGTCAACCTGTGGTCAAAATTGGATGGGTGACCGCCAAAACTGTCCTAGAAAGCCTTAAATTCGTCCACATCTTGATCAAAAGTACCAGGACAACATAGGTCCCTACAGTTCTTCAGTAAGTAATAAGGGTCTGGAGCTGGTCAAAGTAGGATGGGTGACCGCCCGTTAATAGCTCATAACCTTGCAAAGTAACTTTGCAACTCCATCTGGGGTCAATATTGGATGGGTGACCGCCAAAACTGTCCTAAAAAGCCTTAAATTCTTCCTCATTTAGGATCAAAAGTACCAGGAGAACATAGTTCCTAAAGAGGTCTTCAGTAACAATAAGGAGTAATTCTGGTCAAGGTATGATGGGTGACCGCTTGTTCGCCAAAACTATCCTAGAAAGCCTTGAAAACATAGTTCCACAGAGCACGCATCTTCAGCTTATTTCCTGAGGTCGTCAGTCCATCTTGTAGGTTTACGCTAAGTTTTCAGAGCTCTCCACTTTAAAACCTGTTTATTCAGCAAAACTTTTTGGCCTCATCTCACATTCAGAGCTCTCCACTTTAAAACCTGTTTATTCAGCAGAACTTTTTGACTCACATGAAACGTCTCTTTCCACAGTCGGAAAACAAAAACTACAAGATCAGATGGCTCATCCCACCTTGCTTCACTTGTCTGGGGTCAGTAATCGAACTGGCGTACTTTCCTGCTGCCTTACGAGACACTCTGCGCTTCTTCATCAAGTCAAAACTCCCTCTACTACCCTCAGAAACAAGCGAGGCTGTCAAAAAAAGCACAATGTTGCTAGTAGATTAATAAATCATTTGATGCCAAAATTTTGTTTTATTTATGATCGTAAGACGCGCCCCACAATTCTTCCGCTAATGTTTGAGTGTTATCATCGGTCCACGCTAATGCTCCATGAGTGCACACGCACACTACAGTAATGCCTTACGGCTTGCTCGGACCACGCTCCCCGCACCCCGCGCGACCGGGACCAAACATGGGGCGCGGCCGAGTGGATGACACGAACTATAGCTTAACTGATATAATTCCAGATATAAAAACTAGGATTAACGCTTAACTTAGTAATACAAACCTGAATCATATTTGAAGTCTCGCTCACATTTGACCGTGCCGTTCCCATACGTCAGGCTCTGACTGACTTTAGCGCCAGATCTATAGTCGCGAGAAGCAGGCATAGCCGAGGTTAAAAACTAGTTTATAATACTCAAATCTCATTCGCAAATTCAACATCTCCGTTAACAAAATAAGTTTTATAAACAAGCACATGTTTTCGTTAACAAAATACTATTTATTAGTAAACAACGCAAACCATTTGGCAAACAATAACAATAATTCGGTATTTATAGTAACCTCTGGCCTTCGTACAGTTTAGTTCTTTGTTTATAATTGTGGTGTATTTGTAGGCGTTCAAAATTAAAAGGTCTAGGGGACTCAAAGTAGAGAATCTGTGATAACACGGCCTGGAATAGGCGTATACCTATTTATACAGGGTGTAAAAAATAAGTGAACTCATTCGTTATTTCTAAACTATACAAGACATCAAAAAACTGGTATCGTTGTTGCAATTCACGAAGGCGAGTGAGCTTTACATGTGTGGTGGCTCGCTACTGTTCGTTTTTCAAAAGTTACACTATCGTTATGTGCATGTACACGTACACACACAAGTAAAACGAGTGAGCCTTCGTGAGTTGCAAGAACTATAACTGGAATGGAAGCTGGAACCATTGAATTTTCGGATAGATCCAGTTTATTCTGTTACCTAATATTGATACTGATTGATAGAGCTCGTGAAGCACTTTCAGGATCTGTAACCAGTTTTTCGATATCTTGTATAGTTTATAAATAATCTTGTGAGATCACTTATTTACACCCTGTATAGCAGTTTACGGACTAAATCTAAGGCTGAGTTGCACCACCTAACTTTAACCGTAACTTTACCAATAATGGCATTGTTTTTATGGAATTTAACAGATTTTTGACGTTATTAAGTTGGTGCAACTCAGCCTAAATTTTCTAGATTTATGTACATTATCCATAGTTATAAATTATAAAGAAGATCGTAAGCAAAATTCTTCCACCATTTTGGAAAGAATCAAAACTTTATTCGCTTCCGCTACTGCATACAAGTTATAGTAAAAACAATACAAAATGATCCACCGACTCTGGACAGTGTTTCTCAAATTTTGTACTGTGGTGTGCATCGATAAAGTGGTGCAAGATCTGTTGACACCACTTCGGCAGATGGGAGAGACCTGTGGATATGCTGTGAGTACCATTTATTTTATTTTAAACTAGCTTTCCGCCCGCGACTTCGCCCGCGTCGAAATTTGTCTGTCACAGAAAAACTTTAACGCGCGCGTCCCTGTTTCAAAAACCGGGATAAAAACTATCCTATGTATGTCCTTTCCCGGGACTCAAACTATGTATCTCTATGCCAAATTTCATGAAAATCGGTTCAGTGGTTTAGGCGTGAAAGCAAGACAGAGTTGCTTTCGCATTTATAATATTCGTATAGATGTTAAAATTAATTTGGGAAATCTGTATTTATAAAAGCGAAAGGTCACTGATTAACTGATATTTGACTTATAGTTTGCACTTGTAGTTTCCTGATGAGTGAGTCATCACGAAACTACAAGTGCTAGGAGTCTCAAATTTTGCATGGGGGTTCCTTTTAGAACGTGGGTGCTCACTAAGAGCGGATTATACGAAACTCCACCCCTAAGGGGGTAAAACGGGATCATGCGTACGAAGTCGCGGGCGGGCGCTAGTTTTTTTTAATATTATAAAGAATATTAGTAATTCAATTCGAAGTATTAAGTTCGAAGCTACGATAGCCGAACGGTGAAGGGATCGGACTGGCCGACTCGTGATCCGAGGAACGCGGGTTCGAATCCCTTCGCCGCTCGACTATTGTAGTGAACTCAGTAAGTATACGGAAGTTTTTAGTTCATATTCATGTTTAAAATTGAAGAGTAGTCGCCCGGCAAGTGAAAAGTCGTGGGTTCGATTCCCGCCGTAGGCAGTTCGATTTTTTCAAGTTGTTTATTTGTAACTAGCTGTGCCCGCGACTTCGTACGCGTGAAAACCCGTTTTCGCAACATTTTTCATTGTTGCTCTGCTCCTATTGATCGTAGCGTGATGTTGTATAGCCTATAGCCTTCCTTGATAAATGGGCTATCTAACACTGAAAGAATTCTTCAAATCGGACCAGTAGTTCCGGAGATTAGTGCGTTCAAGTAAACAAACAAACTCTTCAGCTTTATAATATTAGTATATATATTCATGTTTATATTGCAGAGCTGCCCCCTTCTCCAGAAAGATATGTTGAACGTACACATAGTGCCCCACACTCACGGCGAGCTTGGAGACACGCGAACATTCTACGAGCATTACACTGGAAGTAAGAAAATACGGTCTTAAGGTTACTCTTAGTTCGTGACGCCTAAATTGGCCAATTGACAACACAACCTTATTCCAATGAGGGCTATCGTTTTTATACTTAACAGTTGGCACCCCTGGCGATTGACAGGACCTTACTCTACAGTGGCGCCATCTTGATGAGTGCAAATGCGATAGTCCTCCTACCACTTTAGCGCTCACCAGTTGGTGCCACTGTCTTCGCTACTATCAAGTGACAGGACCTTACTCTACAGTGGCGCTAACTGGTGAGCGCTAAAACGATAGCCCTCGTTGCGAACTTTTTGGCTGGGTGTCACGAACTTTTTGGCGCTGCATTACCACCCTAAATTCCCGCGGATGTCGTGTGACTAAGGGACAAACAAGCGAACATCAGATGGCCTAAGATGCGCTTGATAACTTTTATCGACATAAAAATGTATGGGCATAATCGATAAAATGGCGTGATAACTGCTTATCGCGGCACGCATCTTAGGCCGTCTGGCCAGCGTGGAAAGTGCAGGTCAATCCTCCATTAGGCTCCAAAACTACTGCACTGATTTAAACATTCTTTTCACCTTTAGAATCCTGCTTATTTCTGATAAACATAGGCGGTACTAAGTTCGCCGGGTCAGCTAGTTCCCTCCTTCTTTTAAAAACATCGTTGAAAAGACAGGAAATAAAACAGTGATGTTTTAATTTCAGATGACAACCTCTACGAAAAGAGTCAAGTGAACATGAAGCGAATTCTAGACTTTACCATCTCAGAGCTGTGGGCGCAACAGGATCGAAAGTAAGAGTTTATCATCATCATCTCAGCCACAGGACGTCCACTGCTGAACATAGGCCTCCCCCAATGACTTCCACATCGCCCGGTTGGTAGCGGCCTGCATCCAGCGCCTTCCTGCTACCTTTATGAGTGAGTTCGGTTATTGATATTTTTTACATTGAACTTCATTGACTTCGTTTCAGCGAAATGACGTCCACTGCTGGACAAAGCTTCTTTCAAGGATTTCCACAACGATCGTAGGACATAGCTCGTAGAACTGACCATTGGGACAGAAAAGTTCTCGAGTGGCGAACAGGGGTCTGAAGACTTAGTATGCGCAGGCCTCCACTAGATGGACCGACGATCTGGTGAAGGTTGCGGGAAGTACTAGACGTGGGCAGGAAGGACCATTTACTGATTTTATTACATTCAATTAAAATACTTAAATAAAATGTTTTTTGTAACCTTTCAGATTCACATTATCTGACATGCCGTACTTATTTCATTGGTGGGCGAATCGAGACGAAACAGGTAAGGCGTCCTACGTATTGTTGATTTCAAAAGATTCCGGTATGAATTTTCAACGACAAAAAGTATACAAAGAGGGCTCACACTATTCATCCCTCTGAATTAAAAAAAAATAAAAGCCTTTAAAATTTTCGGTTTTCGTATTCTATGAGTTTTTAATAATGAATAATCTTTATTCACAAGTATCATTTTCTGGCGTTTAGGCGCGATTGGTGCAAAATTCGCGATTGATCTAATTACGAATTGGACCAATTGCGAATTGGTCCAATCGCGCCTTAACGGATCCTGGCTATACAGGAGTTGCAGCGGTTGGAACGAGAGGTGGGAATAGTCCAGTTCTGATGTGAACTAGTATATGTAAAGGAAATCAACCCTTATTGAGTACGAAATAAGCCCTAATCTCCTCAGTCCGCAGGATGGTGTACCAGCTGCTCCGCCAAGGCCGCCTGTACTTGGTGGGCGGAGGGTGGAGTATGAGTGATGAAGCTACCACCAGCTACCATGCCATCATAGACCACTTCACCTACTCGCTGAGGTAAGTGGGTCAAATATTATTGACCTCAGTGTCGCATTAGAAATTCACACACTCAAAGTAATCAAAATATGTGCTCATTATCCACTGCGGAATCAGTACTCAACGTTCGAATAATCTTTAGTTCTACGCAAACAATGTAAACTGTTTACATTCTGACGTCGCTGCTGTCATCATTGCTGTCGCGAGCAATGTGTTCTGTTTTTGGGCATATTGCTGCGACACCGGCCCCGCCCCTTTTCACATCTCCCTTTAGTTTCTGTGATTTGTTTGTGAATAGCTATATAGATTGTTTCATCCACTGGGACGCGCCCCAGCAATGTTTGGTCTCGGTCGCGCGGGGTGCGGGGAGTGTGGTCCGACCGAGCAATCCGTAAGGCATTATTGTAGTGTGTGTGTGCACTCATGGAGCATTTAGCGTGTACCGATAACACTCAAACATTAGCGGAAAAATGGTGGGGCGAATCGTGGATGAAACGATCTTAAAACCTCTTGCAGAAAGATCAACGCGACCTTTCTCGAGTGTGGCCGACCGCTAGTGGCGTGGCAGGCGGACTGCTTCGGGCACAGTCGCGAGTTCGCTTCCCTCATGAGCCAGATGGGGTTCGATGGACTCTTCATCAACCCCATCAGCTTTGACGATGAGCTGGAACGGATGAAGCGGAAGGGGCTGGAGTTTATGTGGAGGGGGAGCGATGATTTGGGTGAGCACTTCTTTACTAATCCTTTAAGCCGCCTTTAGATTTAAGTTTTACTCACGTAAGTGCATTAAGATTTTGCAAATACATAAATCGTAAGTCGCTTATCGTAATTTCTTACTACTTGCGTATACCAACAGCTGTTACATAAATTACTATACCTTATGGAAGCAACTTATAAGTGTAAAAGTGTGGTTATACCTACCCTAGTCAATGACATAACATTTTCGACTCTCCCATAGATTTTATGACTTCATCAATCAACTCGCAAAATCAAGTGACTATTGATTTCAAAACTACTAAATATCTATATTAATTAATTACTGAATACTAAAGGGAAACACACAGACATGATAGATACGATATCGTTACGTGTACGGCACGACTCGTATTGTGTTTAAATGTGTAATGCCCGTTTTCACCATCTATCCCTAATTTTAAAGTGACCCCTATGGTAACATTTAACAGGAATTTTGTTTCCGTAGGGGTCACTTAAAAATTAGGGACTGATGGTGAAAACGGGCATAAGAGTCCTAACTCGGTTTTCAGGACTAAAGTCCGGTCGCCGAGCAGACAGAATTTCGTCGACCCCACACTAACTGCGGCCGCACGTTGCAAGGCTCATCATTTACACTGCGCGGAAATTAGCCAAGTCAAAAAGACAGTGGGGTGGGGATGAAAAATGAATGATTTTCATTTTTGTCTTTTTGACTTGACTCGGCTAAATTACGCGCAATGTAAATGAGCCTGCATAGTCGCGACAGCAATATAATGAGGATCAGTACTGTTGTAGAAAATTCAATAAAACTAGTATCTACGTTAATCTTTAAGACATAAGAAAGATATATCTTTTTGAATTATCCAAATCGGACCATTACTTACGAAGATATTAAGTAATAAACATAGGCCGTTTTTGCCGCTAAAAGTCAACGTACGCAAGGCCGCGTGACGTCATTATATCCGAATCGAGCGCAGCCGGCGTACTAATGGGATGGAAAAAAATTTTTTCCGGCTAAACTATCAGTTTTAGAAAAAAACTTTTAATAACATTTATTCTTCAAAATAAAGTAACCTATCGACCAGTAATTTTTAAAAATAAAAATTGTGAAAAATAAGTATTGCTATGTCCAAAAACCACATTTTCATAGGATTCGATGCAATGCGGAGACGCGGTTGGGGTGAGTGTAACTTAATGATTGTTTGTATTGAACATAATAATACTGGGTAAATCATACCCAACTTCTGGCCGAGGGGGAAGTCATGCCCAGCTTATGACCTGGGGAGAGGAGAGGGGCGGGGTAGTCATACCCAGCTTCTAGGCTAAGATTAAATAGATTTCCAGCACGGAGCGGCTGTCCTTTCCTGCAGCAGCTGGCCCGCCCATGGGAACGGCGAATAGATTTAATTCATAGTAGTAGGTTTAACTCAGAAAAACTAAATAACAGGTAGGTAATTAGGTATTAACTATTAAGTGTACATCGAAATGATTTTCATAGCAATGTCTTATTGTTAGAAGTTATACCTTATAGTTAGAAGTAAATAAATTAATACTTATACATTTTTATATTTTACTTGGAAGAAGATATGACTCTAACAACACTTATGTACACTTTATTTGAATAAATCGCCAAATATACCACCGCGGAGACCCCAATCGCGTCTCTGCGTGCCATTGAATCGTATGAGCGTATGGATTTTTTGCGTTATTTTTCACAATTTCCATTTTTAAAAATTACCTATCGATAGCTTACTTTATTCTGATGAATAAATGTCATTACAAGTTTTTCTCTAAAACTGATAATTTGGCTAGAAAAAAATATTTTCTATCCACGCAGTACGCCGGCAGCGTTCGGATCGGATATAATGACGTCATCGTCCCCGCGCCGGGCGGTCAGTGAACTTTTTTAGTAATTTGGCCATAACTTCGTCAATTTTTGTCGTAGAACAAAAATTTTTGCACTGTGTATTAAGGATTTCTTAGCCCTATAAATCTGCATTCACAGCTAAAAATCGAAATGATCCTCATTACGCGCGAGCGTTATGGATGGGTAGCTTGGGGTCATTGGACGAAATTTTATCTGCTCGGCGACCGGACTTTATTGCTTCTTAATATTCAAGATGGTCTCTCAAAACCCTGCAGGAGCGGAGACAGACATCTACACTCACAAGCTGTTCGACGGTTACTGGTCACCTCCAGGGTTCTGCTTCGGGACGCAGTGCAGCGACCCACTCATCATCACGTCTACTGACGACTTTACCAACGTCAGAGAACGGGTAATGTAACGGGGGACAAGTCAGACCCAGCTTCTGGCATAGGGAGACAAGTCAGACCCAGCATCTTGCCTGGGGGGGACAAGTCACACCCAGCTTCTCGACCTAGGGGGGACAAGTCAGACCCAGCTTCTCTGGCCTGAGGGGGGGACAAGTAAGACCCAGTTTCTCGACCTAGGGGGGTTAGTCATAACCAGCTTCTGTCCTAGGGGGGGCAAGTCAGACCCAGCTTCTCGACCTAGGGGGACAAGTCAGACCCAGCTTCTTGCCTAGGGGGGATTAGTCAGACCCAGCTTTTGGCATAGGGAGGAGGGGGGGCAAGTCAGACCCATCTTCTGTCCTGGAGGGCAGGTCAGACCCAGTTACTTGTCTAGGGTGGGGACAAGTCAGACCCAGCTTCTGGCCTATGGGGAGTGGGGTAAGTCAGGATTTTTTGGGTCAGATCGTTTGACTTAGCTCCTTCAAAGGTCCTGTAGCGCTGTCTCCCTGGGCACGTTACTATCTATCTATCACAAGCTGTTCGACGGCTACTGGTCGCCGCCAGGGTTCTGCTTCGGGACGCAGTGCAGCGACCCGCTCATCATCACGTCTACTGACGACTTTACCAACGTCAGGGAACGGGTAATGTGGACACATACACTATGAATATACACAAAGTTACACATACCACAAAATGGTTAGGAGCAGAAGCTTCTGGCCTAGGGGACAAGTCAGACCCAGCTTCTCGACTTAGGGTGGGGTGGGGGCTAGTCATACCCAGCTTCTGGCGTAGTGGGGTATGTCAGACCCAGCTTCTGGTTAGGAGGCAAGTCAGACCCAGCTTCTTGCCTAGGATGGGATAAGTCAGACCCAGCTTCTGGCTTAGGAGGGGACAAATCAGACCCAGCTTCTTAGGGGGCTACTCAGACCCAGCTTCTGGCTTAGGGGGGACAAGTCAGACCCAGCTTCTTGCCTAGGAGGGCATAAGTCAGATCCATCTTCTGTCCTGGAGGGCAAGTCAGACCCAGCTACTTGTCTAGGGTGGGGACAAGTCAGACCCAGCTTCTGTCCTGGAGGGCAAGTCAGACCCAGCTTCTAGCCTAGGAGGGCAAGTCAGACCCAGCTTCTGGCCTATGGGGAGGGGGGTAAGTCAGGATTTTTTAGGTCAGATCGTTTGACTTAGCTCCTTCAAAGGTCCTGTAGCGCTGTCTCCCTGGGCACGTTACTATCTATCTATCACAAGCTGTTCGACGGCTACTGGTCGCCGCCAGGGTTCTGCTTCGGGACGCAGTGCAGCGACCCGCTCATCATCACGTCCACTGACGACTTTACCAACGTCAGGGAACGGGTAATGTGGACTTGTTATTTGATTTTTCGTTTTAAATAATTGTATTTTTTTTTCGGCGTCCTATTAGACGTGAATCGTCAATAAAAAGAACTCATCTAGATCCGCAAATAAAATACGGAAGAACGAGAGACGTATGTAGGAGAAGTAGTTGAAAGAATGGATTTTTCATGCAGAATAAAGCGGCCGACCGTAATCCCCAATCCCATGTTAAGTGATGCACTTTTTTGGTGGTACGAACTTGCCCTTCAAATGTCTATTCGCTCTCACCTTGAAGATGCTTATAGCTATAGTGTTCGAAAAATAGCGAATTCCAATCCCTAGCTATTTGCATTATAAAAGAGCGAAACGCGTGTGAGCTAGTTGAATATCGACAATAGCTGCCTATTTAGTAGTAGTTTTACACTCTTCTTCTTGTCGTGTCGACAACAAACCTACACAGTGTCAGCCCAAAACTCCGCCACAAGAGTGGCGTTGTCAGTAGCCTTCATTAAATCTTCCTTCGTGCAGTTGTTCGGGCACGCAGGGCACGACATCATGTGCTTCATTACATTGAAGTTTGCTTTTCTATTTTATAGCAGTGACCCAGGGATATAGTAGTTTTTATGGCACATACAATAAGGTCCATTCTCCTCCGCAGGTGAACGTATTCCTCCAAAGCGTTCAGTTCCGTCAAGCGCCGTACTATACCACCCGCAACGTGATGGTGATGATGGGACAGCGATGGGGGTACTACGATGCTAGTGTATGGTTCGCTAACATCGACAAACTCATCGGGTAAGTGTATTACATCGACGAAATAGCAAGCTGCTACCAACCGTGCGATGTGGAAGTCATTGGGGGAGGCCTATGTTCAGCAGTGGACGTCCTGTGGCTGAAATGATGAATGATGATGATGAATAGCAAGCTGAAGTGGCAATGGGCAGGACACATAGTACGCAGAACTGACGGCCGATGGGGCAGCAAAGTTCGGGAGAGGTCACGCAACAAGGTGAACCGATGACCTAATAAAGGTAGCAGGGAGGCGCTGGATGCAGGCCGCTACTAACCGATCATTGTGGATATCATTGGGGGAGACCTTTGTTCAGCAATGGACGTCCTGTGGCTGAAATGATTATGATGATGATAGATTCATATACGCGAAAGGTCACTCACTCACTCATCATGAAATCTCAGAATCTACAAGTGCTAGGCGTCTCAAATTTTGCATGGGGGTTCCTTTTAGAACGTAGGTGCTCACTAAGACGGGATTTTGCAAAATTTAATCCCTAAGGGGGTAAAACGGGATCCATGCGTACAAAGTCGCAGGCGGTCGCTAGTCTACCCTGACGCTATAACTTCAGAACGCACGAACCGATTTCCGCGGTTTTGCATTCGTTGGAAAGGTCTCGGGCTCCGTGAGGTTTATACCAAAAGATAGATATAGGGTGTAAAACGGGATCAATACGTACGAAGTCGCGGGCGGTCGCTAGTTTTCTATAACTTATTTAATCCTTATTTTATTGTTCTAGCTCTCTGAACCGCTACAACCTGGTAGGCGGAGTGGCGGTGAACGCGTTTTACTCCACCCCCGCGTGCTATCTGAAGGCTGTGTATGAGGAGAAGTGAGTGCTTACAATTTTAATCTTAACACTATCACAAAGCGCCATCTATCCACAAAGTTAAGCCTTCAGATTTCGTATGCTCTGTCACGTAATATGTCAATGTCAACGCCAAACGATTTGCGATTTTATTGTTTGTATTTATGTTAGGTTTAATCTGTGTGTTTCTTTGTTTTTTTATTTTTTTATTTTTACGGCGACCCCAGTGCCCACAAGGTCCCTGCTGAAAATCAGTGTCGTGGCATCTTTGTCACGACTAATGCGGAGTCAGGGACCTTTTTGGCACAGGGCACTTATTTTATTTTTCTTTTTTCTATGTTTTAATCTTGTATTGTGCCTTTATCATGTACTAGCTTTCCGCCCGCGGCTTCGCCCGCGTGGAATTTTGTCTGTCACAGAAAAACTTTATCGCGCGCGTCCCTGTTTCAAAAACCGGGAGAAAAACTATCCTATGTTCTTTCCCGGGACTCAAACTATCTCTATGCCAAATTTCATCAAAATCGGTTGCGAGGTTTAAGCGGGAAAGCGTAACAGACAGACAGACAGACAGACAGAGTTACTTTCGCATTTATAATATTAGTTGGGATTGTGTATTGTGCCAAATAAATAATAAAAAAAAAGTCACCCTTCCCGTGCCGCTCCCATACCCCAGACTCAGTTAATTCGTCGGTTAATTCGAAAAATCGTCAGATGTATTGAAAGAAAGATGCGACATTAGCCAAATGATGTCAATTTCCAACTAGCCGATTCGAGATCCGAGGAACGCGGGTTCGATCCCCGCCGCTGGACTATTGTGGTGAGCCCACTCGTTACACAAGCATAGTCCAGTCAGCGTCAAATAGTTCGTGACACCCAAAGTGGCCAAAAAGTTTCATTCCAATGTAACAAAGACGCGTTGCGAACTTTTTGGCTACTTTGGGTGTCAACTACATATTTGACGCTGACTGTACGAGAGGTAAACGGGATTATATGTATAGTAAAACTATATTTTAATACAATATAATAAATGTTAAGCCTAACTAATTTTTAACACGTCCGTCTTGTCGAGACCGATGTCATTCCTACTAATTGTTAGTGCAGAGACCGCCAGCATAAATTGTACATGTGACATCTTTTAGTAATAAATACGTTTTCACTATTTTACTTGTTACTTTACTTTAAATAAATGTAATTAATTTCAGTCCAAAACTCCAAACAAAGCAAGACGATTTCTTCCCGTTCGCCTACGACAAGTCGTCGTATGCCACCGGCATGTACTCGTCGCGTCCCGCTCTCAAGTACTTAGCCAGAGAGGGACAAAGGATCCTACAGGTACGTAGCTATGCTTTGAAAAAGATACCATAGAGTATGGATAGATAAAGTCCGGTCGCCGAGCAGATAGAATTACGTACAATGACCCCAAGCTACCCATCCTTATCGCTCGCGCGTAATTATATTGCTGTCGCGACTGTGCGACGGGCGCCCGCAGTGAGTGTGCGAGCGCGACAGCAACATAATTACGCGCGAGCGATAAGGATGGCTAGCCTGGGGTCATTGGACAAAATTCTACGTGCTCGCAGACCAGACTATAGTGATTAGAAGAAACATGAGTCGGCAGAAGAAATTATAAACAATTCCTTTTATTTTTAGATCTCCAAACAACTACACGTCACTGCTAGGATGGGAAATTACAACAAGTTATTTGAAGATATGTCGTGGATCAATGGTAAGTGGCTACTCGTACATACATTCACACTCGGTTGTCCGACGATCTGGCGACGAGTCAAATGCCGTCCACAGCTGGACAAAGGCCTCTCCCAAGAATTTCCACAACGACCCGTCCTGCGCCGCCCGCATTTTTACCAGATCGTCGGTCCATCTAGTATGGGGCCTGCCCACACTACGTCTTCTGTCGGTCGCCACTCAAGAACTATTCTACCCCAGTGACCCCGCCCACTACCACTTGAATTTAGTAATTCTGCGAGATATGTCGGTCACTTTGGTTTTCCTGCGAATCTCTTCATTACTGATTCGATCACGCAGCGAAACTCCGAGTGATGATGTTAATGATAAAAAATACATTCACATTAAGTATGTGTACGATATGATATGGAACCTAGGCACGCGGTAGCGTGTCAAGCCAAGTTCAAGTAACAGAACTGGCAAACTGCACCGTGTGTAATATAAAACGAACCGTTTGGAACCACTTTTGACCGCCTCCTAACTCAAAAATTATTCACATAATCGTGTCGAGTTTGAATTCGTATATGACTCGATTCGTATATAAACCTCAAACCTCAAATTTCAGAACTAACCATTGAACCCATTTAGATCTCACTTCTTTTGTCGTTAACAACCAAATCATAATATTGAACTTGGCTCTCATTTCACATTTATTTTTTGATGGGATACATAATACGGGCAGTAATAATCTTGCCAGAGACCTTCGATTCTCAACCGTCTGTATACAGGGTGGAAACCATAAGTCGATTATTTCTAAACTATACAAGATATCAAAAACTAGTTACTGATCCTGAAAGTGCTTCACGAGCTCCATCAAACGGTTACAGAATAACCTGTATGTCGTTCCAGGTGTATTCCAAGACCACAACATAATATCAGGCGCGCTGAGGCCGCACGTTATGGATTACTACGTCGACAAGATGGCTTCTGTCATCGACTTGGCCATGACGACCATCATAAAGAACGGGTTGAAGTAGGTATTATAGGTCTAACTAACGCATAAGTGAGTCAGTGCCTGAGGTATGGACGCGGCACGGGAGGGTGTTTTCGTGAAGATCAAACGTCAATCAGATTTCAGATCTCTATCGACGTCATAAATGTCAATGTCACCCTTCAGCAGCGTTGCCAGTTTTTTTTTTCGCCAAGTCGGGACTTCGGTACTTTTTGAGTGAAAATAGCGGGATTCTTCTGTCAGAAGCGGGACATAGTAAAATAACGTATATAATCAAAGGTTTTCAAATATTTATCTTTTTATTTGACTTAAAATTACGTTTACGTGACAATAGATAGCAAAAGTAGCCATAGAAAATGTATTTTAACAAAAAAATATTATTTTAAATCAGATTTACTCTATCGTTAAATTCGTCTTTAGAATAAAAATTAAATAAAAAAATATTTTTCAAAAACAAGCTTTTAATGCTCTAAAAAGAATAAAATAAAACAAACCCATCAACTTATTACTTACTTTACTCAATTTATATGATTAAAAGCTTGTCGCGAGATTTACTAGATGTATGTATTTAACTATTTGATTTTTTTCTAAGATCAAAGTTTTAGCAAGATCAAGTTACGTATTTAATGTATTTTTTATACAAGTAAATCTCGCGACAAGCTTTTAATCATATAAATTGAGTAAAGTAATAAGTTGATGGGTTTGTTTTATTTTATTCTTTTTAGAGCATTAAAAGCTTGTTTTTGAAAAATATTTTTTTATTTAATTTTATTTTCGACTTTTTAGTATTTATAATGCGGGTTTGAAAAGTTGAAATTTATTGAAACATTTTGGTTAAGGCGCAGCGTTAGTGATTATGACATATTATTTTTTATACACCCTCATAATATTCATATTCAGCTCTCAGCTCGTGCACCTTTGCAATGGGTTATTCATCTAATCAAAATGAAACTACTTACATTCATACTAAATGTAACGAACATTATTCCCATTTGATAGGGTTACGACTTGCGACGTATTAAATGAGCCCAAAGTCTACGGGGTTGTGTCGCTTTATTGCGGAGTTCCTATGGCCACATTCCAACTCCATAATTAGACCCTAGTATCATATAGGATTGAAGTTGTCGTCAATACAAATTAAACGAGCCCAAACTCGATGGTATTGTGTCGTTTTATTGCAAAGTTCATGTGACCACCTTCCAGCTTCATTATCAGACCCTAGTTATCATATTATGTGATTGAAGTGCTCATCAATACGAATCAAATGAGCGAAAACTCGATAAGGTGGTGTCGTTTTAGTGTGGAATTCCTATAGCCACCTGCCGGCTCTATCATCAGATCCTGTTTATCATATAAAATTGAAGTCCTCATTAATACGAATCAAACGAGCCCAAACTCGATGGTATTGTGTCGTTTTATTGCAAAGTTCCTATGACCACCGTGCGGCTCCATCATCAGACCCTGGTTACCATGTAGGATTGAAGTACTCGTCAATACGAATAAAACGAGCCCAAACTCGACGGGGTTGTGTCGATTTAGTACGGATTTCATAAGGCCACCTTCCGGCTCCATCATCAGACCCTGGTTACCATGTAGGATTAAAGTACTTACTCGTCAATACGAATCAAATGAGCCCAAACTCGATGACATTGTGTCGTTTTATTGCAAATTTCCTATGACTACCTTGAACTACCTTCCGGCTCCATCATCAGACCCTGGTTACCATGTAGGATTGAAGTACTCGTCAATATAAATTAAACGAGCCCAAACTCGACGAGGTTGTGTTGTTTCAGTGCGAATTTCCTATGGACACCTTCCGGCTCCATCATCAGACCCTAATGGTTACCATACAGGATTATAGTTCTCGTCAATACAAATTAAACGAGCCCAAACTCGATAGGCCTGTGTCGTTTTATTGCGGAGTTCCTATGACTACCTTCCAGCTCCATCATCAGATCAGCTCCGTGTCATCATAATATTGCATTGTCATCCGACTTACACATGCATGCAAAATTCCAGCTCAATAGAAAACCGGGAAGTGGGTCAATTTTAAGTTGCAAGATTTGACGACAGACACCAGACATGTGAAAGTAATAAAAAGCTTGTAAAGAAAAAAAAATAAAAAGTTTTATTCTTTAGAATAATATGGCGTTTCAAACAATAGTCTGGTGAAGTGAGTAGTGTCTCTCTCCGAAAAGCGGGAACGACCCTGTCCCGCGCGGGACATTTAAATTTGATTTAAAAATCGGGACGTCTGGCAACGCTGCCCCTCAGGCACTAATTAAACGCTATAAGTAGGTACCTAATATATTAACGGACTTATTGGTTTATTATACAGGGTGTCCCAGAATGGGTGAATCAAACTGATTTATAGTGAATATACTGAATAGCTCTAATAATGTACTATCCTAAAAAAATATGAAAAAAAATTGAGTTCGGATTTTTTTTTAAATAAAGTGCTCTAAACTCGAAATCTAGTCATTATTTTCAAAAGTTTGTTTACAGATAAACGAAGCAATCATGTACATTTAATATTAATAGTAAGAAAAAAGTACAAATAAATTCCAAACGCAGCAATTATAGCCAGATACTTAGGCAAAGCTGATTTATTTTACACATTTTTAAAAATTTTTTTTTTGTTTCCTTATAAATGCGCTTTATTTTTTTCATATTTATTTTTGGGATAGTACATTAGTAGAGCTACCTCCCCTATCAGTTTGATTCACCCATTCTGGAACATTCTGTATAAAAAAGGCTGACAAAGGTGACCAAGTTTCTTCCGCCACTTCTCAGCACCAGCCCATATGTTGTCCCGAAGTGGTGGTAGGGCAAGCTATATTTGGGACGTGTATAAGTGCCCTGGAAAGGGCCTATGTACTGAATAAGATATTTTATTTTATTTCATAGATCCTTAAAATGTTTTTTTTTAATCTTTATTGTGTGGTACTAACGATTGTACTTAATATTTTTTTATCTTTTCCAGTGTGCTTCGCAAGAGTCCAGCAGAGACCAACTACAATAGATGCCATTTCAACATATCCAGGTGCCCTTACACGGGAGGCCCTCACTACTTTGTGAGTGTATTTATTACTATAGTCTGGTCCGTGAGCACGTAGAATTTTGTCCAATGACCCCAAGCTACCCATCCTTATCGCTCGCGCGTAATTATATTGCTGTCGCGACTGTGCGACGGGCGCCCGCAGTGAGTGTGCGAGCGCGATAGCAACATAATTACGCGCGAGCGATAAGGATGGGTAGCTTGGGGTCATTGGACAAAATTCTACGTGCTCACGGACCAGGCTTTAGCTTTATTCACGTAACAAAACTTCGACGACAACAAAACACTGAGTTGCGATCCTATCGAGTAATCGTTCTATCGAAATGACCCTTGTGAATACGGATTTAGAACTGTTTTTCACTGGGACGACTTCTGAACGTCAGCGAGATCTTGACTGTCAAAATACGTGAATTAGGCCACAGCCCCCCTAGACAAAACGCACTTTTTGATCGAATCGAAAATCGAATCCGTCAAAACTCCATACAAAAAAGGGGCTTTTCGACCACTTTTCGACTGGTTTGCGATTATAATTTGCACTTTGTCTAGACCCACAGGGCTTCACTCGCGTGTACCTATATCTGTCTCATAATTATTTATTTGATTACCAACAAGGCTATATATTGTAGTATTCACATATACGAGTAGTGTATGTTACTCATATAATGCAGCATTCTAAGGTTTAAAGAATTTTAGAAATAGCCTTAGTACCTACATTTTGAGTTTCTTCGTAGCAAACATACAAAAATAAAAGTCTAATCAAATATTAATACGCATACACGAAGGTTACATTTAATTTTAATTTTAACAAATCACCTTATACAGGATGTCCCAGTAAGTATGGATAAAAAAGACGGATTGATACTGTGCAACAAATACAACTTTCGAACAAAATCAAAATTAATAAAAAAATGTTGACGTCCCCACACTAATTGGCTGGCTTTCTTGGAGTTGTCGAATTTGAACCGTAGAATCAATATTTTTTGTTTGAACCATAATTACAAAGACACCCTGTATAATGTTATGGGTGTTATTTTATAACAAAAGTTGTATTATATTACAGATAGTGGTATACAACCCCTTGGCTTGGAATGTGAGTACAACCGTGAGACTGCCCATACAACCCATCGACTATACAGTGTATACTCCAAGAGGTAATTTATAAAGGTATTTACTTATTTAGGTATACAATGTGTCCAGGATATATTCAAACGATTCTGAAACGTCAAATCGAGACTTCCATGGATTTTGTATGGAAATACAAAATACAAACAAGTGACGTCACTATTTTGTCAACTTAACCCTCAATTTGCATGGTAGGTCCCAGGGACTCCATGTGAAACTGTTTTGGTTCATAATTTTTTTCAATACGCGAATAAAGTGCTGTGCGCTTGAGTAGCTTCCTTTGGTGTCGTGGCCAACTCGGGGGCTAGAGGTCGTCTGCGTGCGCATCACAGAAAGTTGAGTAATTGACACTTGCGGAGTCCCGTGGACTCCACCATACACTTTGCGTAACAAAAATTTTTATTATGATATTATTATTATTTTTTAAATTATGATTTATTTACGGTTTGAGTGGATCAAAAAAGCATCAAACAGTCACAATACATTTATCAATACGTTAGATGGAAATGAGGCCTCAGATATGAGGGACTGGCAAGAAAGTCTAGAAGAAAATGCAGATGATGAAGAAAAAGAAGAGGATTTTACATCTTACGTCCCGAAAGATTTGTTTTGATGATTTTGTATTTTGATGATGTGTTTTGATGAATTAAAAGAAAGACTGCTTATTTTGAAATTCATTTCACAAAAAATATGCTTGTATTGTTCGAAAAAGTTTGGCAGGCAATGTGCTGATCGTAGTAGTTACTAAGCCATTGCACGTTTTTTCGTGTTAATTTTTTTCTAACATTTTACATATTATTTATCAAGAAGACTGTTATGTCCACATAATTTAGAGAGAAAAAAAAATTTGGTTCATTTTTTTTCTAAGTTTAAGAGGTACAAAATGCCTATGTCGATTTTTATGTGATTTTTACGACTTCATGAAAATTTTATTTTATAAATGAATTTTAATTAATGTTTCAATTTCTGTTGTTTCTAATTAATAGTATATTAACCATATTATGTTACCAAATAAAAAATATATTACTTTTATAAGTATTAGTATATTTTTTATTCATTTGAAATATGGAGTCCCTGGGTCTCCACCTTACACTTAACGTAAGTTTTAGTCACCATGCAAACTGAGGGTTAAACCAACAATGCAACCAAAAATCTTAATATGACAGGTAATTTAACATTAATTAAGTTTGTGCTTCAAATTCGCACCATTGAAGCCATTAGACAGAATAATAATAATAGGACCAGAATGAAGTGTATTTTTAAAAAAGTTGTGATTTCGAATTATTGGGGAATGGCGTCAAATAGTTGTTTGTTCCAGGCACAACCGTCAGGGCAGCGATGGCTCCCATACCAGATAACGTGCGACGGCACCCCGCAAGGAAAACGCGGGCTTTTTACGAATTAATATTTTACGCGGAGGACATACCCCCTATGGGATTCAGGTTGGTGGTATTTCTTACTTTTACTTTATTTAAAAATCTAGCTTACCCGGCGAATTTCGTTTCGTGTATGTTCATCGAAAATAATGTAGGATTCTAATGGTGGAAGAATTTTTTCAAATCGGCCCAGTTGTTTCGGATCCTATTCAATACCAACAAAATCTCACTTAGGGTCAAATGGGCGAACTTACCCGCCTCTGTGGTCTAGTGGTTAGACCACCTGCTTCAGACGCAGAGGTCCCGGGTTCGATTCCCAGTGGGACAGATTTTTCTGTTCGGTTTGGTTGGTGGTAGGACTTGTTCTAAGTCCGCCTGGCTAGCTACCACCATCTTACCTAGGTCTGTCGCCATAACAACAATGTTAACAGCATTGTTGTGTTCCGGCAGTTAGAGGTAAGATAGCCAGTTCCTCCGTGGTTGAGGATTCCGGGTGAAGCTCGCTTCCACCTTCGGCCTGATCGTCACTTACCATCAGGTGAGATAAGGGCCAAGAGCTTCTTCGATGTGGATAAAAAAAAACTTGTATTCTTAAAATGACCTTACCTATTACAGGTACACCCACGAAGTTTGTCTAACGTTCTACCAAACACCCTGTATAAATATCCTAGACGTTAACACTGCGCCTCTAGTCCCAAACTAAGCAAAGATAAGATTTTACTATGGGTACTAGACAACAGATATAAACGTACTTAATTCTTCTTTTTTTAATACATACTTATTATTATAGATAGAAAACACCTTTTTGGGTGCTAAACCACGCTATGTGAAATTTCAAATGATCATAAACATTTCAGGTCATACTGCATCCAAAAGTCCACCCTAGGCTGGGATCGTCCAAAGCGTTCTTTAATCAAGAAAATCAACCAGAACAAGCCAAAAAAATACCTAGTCAGACAAACCAATCCTTCCACCGACGACGTTACTTTATTTGGAGAAAACGAACCTGAATACATGGAATATGACGAATCTACTACTCCTAGATTAGAAACCAAGATAGTCTTTGGAAATGTCAGCAAAATAGACTATGAAAGTCGTTTCACTGGAGTCCTCACTCCCAAGAGTAGAATTGAAGCCTTATCTTCAACTACAGAAAGTATAACTACAAAAACAACTACAGAAACTACAGAGAGAACTACGGAGAGAGTGAGTAGGACTACGAGGAAGACAGAGTCGGAAGATGAAGAGGATATAAACAGAGATTTATACAAACATGTTTCGCCTAAAGGGTATATACCAAAAGATAGTAGGAACCCGTATTTTAATAATAAGGTGAGTTCTGTTCTTTCTTCCGCCCACAAGGTGGACCGACGACCTCATAAAGGTAGGAAGGCGCTGGATGCAGGCCGCTACCAACCGGGCGATGTGGAAGTCATTGGGGGAGGCCTATGTTCAGCAGTGGACGTCCTGTGGCTGAAATGATGATGATGATGTTCTTTCTTCGATGGTAGTAAACTAGTTAAGGTTTTAACTGGTGTCAAACTTAATAAGCCGCTATAGGCATCAATTAAGCATTTAAAAATCTTTTTACGGCCGTAGTTACTAGTATTACTTTAACCCTACCACTGCTTCGGGACAATAAATGGGCCAGTGCTGAGAAGCAGCGCAAGAAACTCAGTCACTATTGTCAGCCTCCTTTTCAACTTCGAAACATAGGGTCATAATATTACAAAAAAGTGACTTCGTACGCGTGGATCCCGTTTTACCCCCTTAGGGGGTTGAATTTTGCAAAATCCCGATTCAGTGACCTTTCGCTATTATAAATATAGATTTCCACGTTAAATGACAATTTAAACAAGTGTTTAACTTTTTGTAATAAGCCCAGTACAGTTCAATTTTTATTTTTAACTAGCTTTCCGCCCGCGGATTTGCCCGCGTGGAATTTTGTCTGTCACAGAAAAACTTTATCGCGCGCGTTCCTGTTTCAAATCCGGGATAAAAACTATCATAATGTCCTTTCCCGGAAACTCAAACTATCTCTATGCAAAATTACATCAAAATCGGTTCAGTGGTTTAGGCGTGAAAGCAAGACAGACAGACAGAGTTACTTTCGCATTTATAATATTAGTATAGATTTATTTACCTACTCGTATTTATTTTAGGAAACTTATTTTTTTATTAAATGGCGCTAAATATATTTTTCTTATCTTTCTTCCAGTACATCCGAGTAAACCTAGACAGTAAGAATCGCATCTACAGCGTGCTTTTAGCGAACGGCGTCAAAATACATTTGGACATAAAAATGTTCTTCTACGTTTCGGACGACCCCGATAAGAAAGACAAAAAGATGAACTCCCCAGGGGCATATTTATTCAGAACTATGGATGAAAAGCAAGAAGAAATAAACGATATTTTTAATGTCACTGTGTATAAGACTGGATTGCATTATGAGTATCATTGCAAGCTTGCAGATTATGCGGCGTACGTTGTGAGGTTGTATGCCAATAGTTCTGTGTTGGAAGTCGATTGGATGGTCGGGCCTGTATCCGTGGAAGATGGGTTAGGTAAGAGATAAAATATAGACTTAGCGCGTAAGTGAGTCAATGCCGGTCCAGGGATCGGAGAATTTCTTAGCATTTAGCAAAATAGACTACGTTCGGTTTGGTTGGTGGTAAGGCTTGTTCTATCTCCGCCTGGCTAGCTACCACCATCTTACCTAAGTCTGTCGCCATAACAACAATGTTAACAGCATTGTTGTGTTCCGGCAGTTAGAGATAAGATAGCCAGTTCCTCCGTGGTTGAGGATTCCGGGTGAAGCTCGCTTCCACCTTCGGCCTGATCGTTACTTACCATCAGGTGAGATACAGGCCAAGAACTTCCTCGTTGTGGATAAAAAAAAATTTAGAGTTGCTACTCAAACTAAGTTTTAAATTAGCTTGAAAAAATTTAACTGCCTAAGGCGGGAATCGAACCCACGACCTTTCGCTTGCCGGTCTGACTCAGTTATGCGTTAGACGTGTAACATGATAATTTTTTTTTCAAATTACTCAATTACTATGTTGACTACAACTATGTCAATTTTTATTTTCGTTTTCTTTACCGAATGCTCATAAAAAATATAATTTCCTTAGAAACTGAAGAAATTAACGCTTCAATCCCCAAACGGTAGTTTAAGATCGCGTAAAAAATATTATCTATCGTGTCTCGATTATTTACACAGGAATATGTAGTATATTATTAATTTATATTATTTGAATTGTATTTGTTGGCGCTTTGGAATCTCTGTAAGCCTTCAAGTCAAGCAGCTTTCTAAATAAACTAGCTGTGCCCGCGACTTTGTACGCGTGAAAACCCGTTTTCGCAACATTTTTCATTTTTGCTCTGCATCTATTACTCGTAGCGTCATGGTATATAGCCTATAGCCTTCCTCGATAAATGAGCTATCTAACACTGAAAGATTTTTTTAATCGGACCGGTAGTTCTTGATATTAGCGCGTTCAAGTAAACAAACAAACTAACTCTTCAGCTTTTGCTTTATAATATTAAGTAATAGATAAATAACTTATTATTTTCACAGGTAAAGAGGTGTTCATCAAATACTCAACAAACCTGGAGAATAACGGCGTATTCTACACGGATTCCAACGGCCGGCAGACCATGAAGCGAATCAGGAATATGAGGCCCACCTTCACTCCATTGAATACAGACCCGATCGCAGGTAATCTCATAAAAAACTTATAAAACTATTTATTTTACAAGTAGGCTTTTAAAAGGCACTTTACACGTCCCAGTATTAACCCTACCACTGCTTCGGGACAATAAATGGACCAGTGCTGAGAAGCAGCGCAAAAAACTCACGCCCGTATTCACAAACATTCCTATGAGGTCTCACACACACGAACTAATCACAGAGCTCTATTCAACGCTGTGCGTTCGATTTGCTGCTTCACTTAAGCAAGCATCGTTTGTGAATACGGGTCTATAACTCAACAAGACAAAAGTCTTTGATCAGTGTGTGTTGCCAGTGATGGTATATGAATCTGAGACGTGGTCGCTTGCTACTATGGGATAGTTAGATAATTCCTGGCAATAAGTGGTGACTGAGTTTGTTCCGGCGTTTCTTCTCAGCACTTGCCATATGTTTGTCTCGAAGCGCTGGTAGGGCCCAAAAGATAAGGAGACATGTAAAGTGCCCCATAAGGGCTACCTTTTCTTTTTTTTTATTATTTTCTATTGACGTTCATAAGTGCCACTTGTGGTCTAAACTGAATAAATATTTTTGATTTTTTGATTTTGATTTTGGGCCTCATAAGAAGGCTCAAGGTCACCCAAAGGGCGATTTTCCCTGCGTGATCGAATCAGAAATGAGGAGATCCGCAGGAGAACCAAAGTGACCGACATATTAAGTGGCAGTGGGCGGGGCACATAGTTGATGGACGCTGGGGCAGAAAAGTTCTCGAATGATGACCACGGGCCGGACGACGTAGTGTGGGCAGCCCCCACTAGGTGGACCGACGATCTGGTGAAGGTCGCGGGAGGTGCCTGGATGCGAGCGGCGCATGAGCGGTCGTTGTGGAAAACCTTGGGGGAGGCCTTTGTCCAGCAGTGGAAATCATTTGAATAAAACTCAGTGTGATAATATTAATCGCCTTAGTCTCTGGTGACTTAGAGAGAGTCGTCCCTGCAGTGGAGTACTTTCTTTCTTTTTAAGCCCAAAATCCCAACTAATCAACTAATATTATAAATGCGAAAGTAACTCTGTCTGTCTGTCTGTTACGCTTTCCCGCTTAAACCTCGCAACCGATTTTGATGAAATTTGGCATAGAGATAGTTTGAGTCCCGGGAAAGAACATAGGATAGTTTTTATCCCGGTTTTTGAAATAGGGACGCGCGCGATAAAGTTTTTCTGTGACAGACAAAAATCCACGCGGGCAAAGCTGCGGGCGGAAAGCTAGTTAAAAATAATTTCACTTCTTACCTTTTCCAGGCAACTTGTACCCAGTGACATCGAAAATCCACATAGAAGACCCGAAAAAGAATATTCGTTTCTCCGTCCTGAACGACCGAGCCCAAGCCGGCTCATCTTTGAAAGATGGCGAAATTGACCTATTAGTACATCGACGACTGTTAACCGACGACAACGGAATACAAGCATATTTAAACGAAACCGAGTTCGGTAACGGAATTTTAGTCAGAGGCACCCATTATTTGTACATATCCAAAGCCAACCACAAACCCACGAGGATATTTGAGAAAAAACTGGCAAAAGAAATCGAATTAAAACCACAGGTTTTTGTATCAGATATGTACGGGTACGGACGGAATACTAAGCGGATTTGGATGGAGTATAACAACGAATATAGTGCTCTAAGATCGAAATTGCCTTTAGGGGTTCATATACTAACTTTAGAGACGTGGACCGAACATTCTTTGCTGCTACGATTGGAGAATTTTTTGGAGAAAAACGACGCTGTGTTATCGGGAATCAAAACGGTTAAATTACGGAATTTGTTCAAGAATTTTCGTGTCACTGATGTTAAAGAAACCACGCTAGCAGCGAATATGATGTTGAAAGACTTCGTGCCTTTAGGATGGTCTAAAGACAAGTTTCTCAAAAGTTTCAACGAAGCGTATGGAAGTGGAACTTATGCGTATTCTAATAACGATTTGAAGGAGATGGAGGAAACTGATTTAAATAAAGGCATAGTGTTAAGACCCCAGCAGATTAGGACGTTCATTGTACAATATGAGTTAGTTGATTATTAGTAAATTACAACCCGATGGTAACCCGATGGAACTGCGCACCTCGCGTTCGCCCCGTCCGGACCAGCCTTTTCAATCCCTAATTTTTAAGTGACCCCTTTGGTAACAAATAACAGGAATTTTGTTTACATAGGGATCACTTACAAATTAGTTGATAGTGAAAACGGGCATTATTCACGTAACAAAACTTCAACGACAACAAATCGCTGAGTTGCGATCCTATCGAGTAATCGTTCTATCGAAATGACCCTGGTGAATACGGATTTAGAACTGTTTTTCAATGGGACGACTTCTGCCCCCCTAGACAAAACGCACTTTTTGATCGAATCGAAAATCGAATCCGTCAAAACTCCATACAAAAAAGGGGCTTTTCGACCACTTTTCGACTGGTTTGCGATTATAATTTGCACTTTGTCTAGATCCACTGAACGTTAGCGAGATTTTGACTGTGTCAAAATACGTGAATTAGGCCACAGAGCGGCAATGTGATAAAAATATATCATGTCATGCTGGTGCTGGATGCGTTTGGCCGAAAATAGCGCTTGTTAGCAAAATGGCGATCGCCATAGCAACCGCCGAAAACTTCAAAAGTGACGTTTTCCCATAAGTTTTACCACTTACCGCTAGCGCTATTTTCGGCCATAGTTGTTAGTCCAGTAGAATTAGCTTTTAAATCGGAAATAATTCCTACAAAAGATTTTATTGCTTTAATGGCTTCATTGGTTGCTGTTCAGGCGCGTGCCTGTGCGGTTTCTAACAGCAAAACAACGATCTCGTGAAAGTGTTTGTGTCGACACATAGGCGCGTCCATAGATTTTTATTCTTGTATAATGTAGGTAGTTCTCTTGCCATCCAACTCTCACACTGTAAAAGTATCTCTGAATAGATTTACTCTAATTTCATCAAAAACCTAGTTTTATTGCTGCTACCATACTGTGCCTAAACACAATACATGGTGGCCCATGAGGGGACCAAGAAGAATCCGCAAAATTAACGGAAATAACGAAAATTTCACATATCGAGAATCCGAGTGCCACGAAGAGGACTTTGGTACCAGACAATATCGAAGGAACAGGAGCAACTTTAACAAGAGGACAATTATTCAAGGGTCAAATCAACTGCAAATTATCATTCAGCGAGAATTAGTGCGTGCAGCGATACATCTAAAAGTATCACAACGTACAACCACAAGTACAACGGCCTCCAAGAAAGTTAAGTGTCCTTCCTTCATTCCTGTCGTTCCAAATTTACCTAATTCCGTGTGCTGTTAGATTTAAATTTTTTTGTGCAAATTAAGTCTAGAGATCGAGCAGTAATTTAATAGTAAATTCAAAATAACTTGTGCAAATTTTACATTGTCGTGTCAGCAGTTAATTTTCAAACGTAATCGATACATATTTATTAAATTCATTTAAAATTTTAGTTCACAGTGTTCTCATATAGTGTCCCAACATAATTTAGTGCTAAATAACGTCATATTTTAAATTTTTATGCCGAAATTTCCAGGCAATAAACGCCCATAGCGTGCCACGACACACCTGCCACCGGCGAAATTATTGCACCGAGATTGACCTTGGCATTGAAATAACGGGACAAATCAGCTGTGCAGACATCGCAGTGCACCGAAGTGAGGAACGTGAGCAAATAAACACATTATTTTATTTTTTTTGTTGTTGACGGTGTTTGAATCTTTGCAGTCATTATGTCGAAAGAAAGTGCAAATGCAGAAAAATNATGGTATGGTGAAGTCAGAAAATTGATATCTTCATTTTCATTATTTTTATTTTCATATAAATCGGATTTTGTGAAATTTATTTTGTATGACAATTAAAAAAATTAAAATGGTGATATCAAATTTCTGACTTCACCATACCATTTATATGCCCATGTTAACATGGGCTAGTGTCGGCTCATATACCCATTTACCTAACACCCTGTATATATAGATTATCTGGTAATACCCACCTAGACTCTCGCCTCGCGGCGCGCGCGCGCGTGGCACTCGTGGTGGACGTGCGCGTGCGGCGTGCGCGCGCGAACGCGTCTCGCGCGCACGCCCACGCCGCTGTCGCCGCTGTGGCCCGACACCAGCGACTCGCTGTCGCTCTGGTTCGACGTGTAGCCGATCACGTCCACTTCGTCTGGAAAGAGGAGAAATAATTGTTTGAATAACCTATAATCTGTAATATAAAAAATAATCGCAATATGTGTTGGTAAGCGCAATATGCGTTGGTAAACTCAACAACGCCTGGACCAAAATTTTACCAATTCTTTTTTTTAATGTTCGTTGAAGTCAAAGGATGGTTTTTATGGAGGCGAGAAAAATTCGAATAATTTCCGGGAAATCCCTAAAAACAGCCCTTTTTTCACGCGGGCGAAGCTGCGGGCGGAAAGCTACAAGATACAATCCTAATAGTAAGTAGGGTAAGGTGGGGCACAATGTTACCGTGTAACAATGTTACAATGCATATTTCTCCGTCCCTTTCTATTAGTTGTATGATGTTGGTATACACATTTGTCAAGCTCATAAGAGCTGCTGAACTGAGCCGCTGAACATTATACAACTATAGAAAGTGACGGAGAAATATGCATTGTGACATTGTACCCCGTGTAACATTGTGCCCCACCTTACCTTAAAGGTAAGTTTCACGATTAACTCAAGTTAACTGTGGATCAAAAAACGAGCCTTCATCATCATCATCTGGGATGGTCATAATTAAATCTGATGTCATTTTAAACGCTAATATGCATTCATTTTAACATAAGAAGAGGCTAACGTGAAAATCGTGGCCAAAGTTAAAACAACTCCTATACGATTGAAGAAGACCGTCAATATGACACGTGTGCTCGAACAGTAAAAGATTTTCATATTAATGAGCGCATTTACCTTCGTAAAATGGCACAATGCAATTTGTGTAATCCCCTTACGTACTTTACTCATTAAATAATGCTCAATCCATACAAGTACATAACTAAGTACCTAATATCCCTTAAAAGGTTTTTGCGTATTAAATTTTTCCAATTTTCCATCAAACCTTTTTTCAATGTGACTGAATACAAATTAGATTTACTTAGGTACAAACTAAACCCAATTTTATTTTATAAACGAGATTCCTTTATTGGCAAACATTCACGTAGAAAAGATTTATTCACATTCCTCTTAAGTAAATACTCAAAAATCTAATTTCAGTTACGTTTAAGATTCAAATTCAATAAATAAGTCCTTTCGAGAGAGCAAATAGAAATCTCAGAAAAATACGAATCCTTCGTACTCTAAAGTAGTTTTCTCAGAAAGGAACCTAATACCGTCTTCGAAGCGATCGTTCTGTATGTATTAGGCATAATTTGTAAATTTTCTATAAGAAATCTCATCTCTGGCCTATTTGTGACACGTGCAGGCCGCAAAATGTAAGAAAAAATACTTGGTGTGTAGCAGGATCTATCACAGGGTTTCCCAATTTTTTTTTGCCAAGGAACCCTAATTGATTATACTTTTCCTAGCGGAACCCCCGTACTACTCCGCCCGCACGCCCTGCCCGTCCCTTGTGCGTAAACAAGTCGGTGCGAGCGAACAACGTCGGTCACGAAACGTGGGATAATATTTTTTACCCTTGCGGCCTTGGACCACCATTCGGGAACCGCTGATCTATCAAGCTTCAACCACTGACCACACCAACGCATGCTCGCCATCGCCGGCGCGATCATAGGCCAATGACAGGTCGAGTGAACTGTCATGGATCGCGCCGGTGGCGATTTGCACGCGTTGGTGTGGTTGAAGCATCAGTCATATTTATGGACATAGCAACCTTGTTATTTAACATGGGCATTTAAAATGTTCACTCACATTCCATGGGGCTGAGATATTTATGTTAAAATTTACTTTCTATAACTGAAACCTCTACCGCCGTAGCAATTCATAAATTCAAGTCTCATTACGACTATGTACTTGCATGAAAATAACCTGTTATAAATCTATTAATATCTATAAAAGCGAAAAGTCACTGACTCACTCAGTCACTCATCGATAAATCTCAAAAAATAAGTGCTAGGAGTCTCAAATTTTGCATGGGGTTTCCATTTAGAACGTAGGTGCTCACTATGACGGAATTTTTCAAAATTCAACCCCTAAGGGGGTAAAACGGGATCCACCCGTACGGGAGCTAGACAGTATCTATATATATAAAAATGAAACCCGTTTCGCGTTGTCACGGCATCACGTGTGAACGGCTGAACCGATTTCGATAATTCTTTTTTTTAAATGTTTGTGGAAGTCCAAGGATGGTTCTTACGGAAAAAAATATTAAGAAAATCTCTACGCTAAGGCGGTACGAAGTTCGCCGGGTCAGCTAGTTAACAATATAATTTTAACTAGAAGTCGCGGGCGGCCGCTAGTTAAAATTATATTGTTAATACTGCCTAGCTCCCATCACATAAATAAACAATGATAACTAAAAAAGTTTCAGCTCTAAAGCGAAAAAGAGACTGAAGAAACAGCTTCCCGACAGTTGTTAAGAAATAACTCTGCATTGTTTATCGGCACGAACAAGACAATAAGGATGCAAAGTGGGAATTTCTATCCAAAGTGGGAATTTTTATCGAGACATAATAAGAGCGAGCGTTGTATCAAGTTTAAAGCGTTTTAATCCGAGCGCAGACAGAGCGGTTTGCATTAAACCTCGTATTTTTATTATGTCACTCTGAATCAAGGGTAGAGGTGTGGCCACGCTGCGAGCGATTTTAATGTAATGCTCTAGGCTAGGATGTAATGCGCTTTGGAGAGCATTAGAGGTAACAAACCCACTAAATACCAATAAGCATAATTCAGCATATTAAAAAGAGATTAATGCCCGTTTTCACCATCAATCTCTAATTTTTAAGTGAAGACGTGAAACCGCTGATATCATGGCTCCACCCTTATCGCAGGCAATCCGGACTTGCCCGCGGTTTGCGCTAAGCTCGTGCATTGACGGTGACGTTTTGCAAGTCTCTATAAAGGATTATGGCGCTCCCGGGCTATGATGAGCGGATAATCTTCGGGAATACACGTTTCCTACATTGGGACGCGTTATTAAAAAAGTAAAAAACTAAAAACTCAACCGCATTTTTGGATTCAGTCTAGTGGCATGGTTTGTGGGAGCTTTAAGCTTGCTTTGAAAAGAATTAGGTTCGTAGTTTATTATAAAAATATGTGAAACGAGCTAAAAATCAGTTTTTTTTATTATTAGTATTTTAAATTTGTATGGATGGTACTAGTATCAAGTAAAATAAATCCCAGGACATATTTTTATACAAATTCTGATGAGGTTCAAAAATTATTTATACAGTGTGTCCGGGTATGTAGTGATCAAACCTTAAGGGCGTAATCTATGGACAATTTTATCGATGAAAACACTTCAAATTTGGGGCCTGACCCATTTCTCGAAAAATTACATCGATTTAAGTTTTTAATTTTTAGTTTACACCTCTTCTTTAAAAAACAAGTGAAGCGTGGGTAGCTTAACATTAATAGGCAAATATTTTATATCATGCAATAGCCAATAAAATTATCTATTAGTAGAAGAAGAAAGCAGACACAAGTTTCATACATTTTATTGGAGTAAGAATGGATTTAATTAGAAAAATACATTACTTTTTTCACTTCTTTGTTTTAAATTTTTATGCCGAAATTTCCAGGCAATAAACGCCCATAGCGTGCCACGACACACCTGCCACCGGCGAAATTATTGCACCGAGATTGACCTTGGCATTGAAATAACGGGACAAATCAGCTGTGCAGACATCGCAGTGCACCGAAGTGAGGAACGTGAGCAAATAAGACACATTATTTTATTTTTTTGTTGTTGACGGTGTTTGAATCTTTGCAGTCATTATGTCGAAAGAAAGTGCAAATGCAGAAAAAACGTATAAGGAATTAAGCGTAAAACGATCATCTATTAAAGGACAAATAACCAAGTTTAAAAATTACCTCAGTACCATTGCATTGGAAAGTGAATTGAGTAATATCCAATTGACTGAATTGAATCTCAGGCTCGCAAAGTTTGAAACACTANAGAAAAATCGTATAAGGAATTAAGCGTAAAACGATCATCTATTAAAGGACAAATAACCAAGTTTAAAAATTACCTCAGTACTATTGCATTAGAAAGTGAATTGAGTAATATCCAATTGACTGAATTGAATCTCAGGCTCGCAAAGTTCGATTTGATGACTTGCAAAATGAGTTAGATGTTTTAAATTCGGCCAATATATCAAACGAAATTGAGGAACGTTATGATATTGAACAGGACATAATTTGAGCATAGCCACCGCAAAGGAGTTGTTACAAAGATATTCAATGCAAGTTGAAAGCAATCAGCGACGTAATTCTGTTTTAGATAATTCTTGTTGTGTAGGACAGCAAGAATTTGGTTTAAAATTACCACAAATTCAAATAGCTAAATTCAATGGCGAATATTTCCGCTGGCTTGAGTTTCGCGACACCTTCGAGAGCCTAATACATAAAAATGAGCGCATTCCAAATATCAATAAGTATCATTATCTCATGTCTTATTTAGAAGGTGATGCAGCCAGAATAATATCAAATCTGGAAATTTCAAGCGCAAATTACATTGAGGCATGGAAGTTATTATGCAATCGCTTTGATAATAAACGGATTTTGATAAATCAACATTTGAATTCTTTGTTTAACATTAGGCAACTACCTCGGGAGTCTGAAAAGTCATTAAGATTTTTAGTTGATCATGTAACCAAAAATTTAAGAGCATTGGCAAGCTTAGGACAACCCACAGACAAATGGGACATCCTCATTATTTTTATGCTGTCCTCAAAGCTAGACAGCACTACGTTGCTAAAGTGGGAAGAGTTTAGGAATGGTTTAGACAGTGATGTTCCGACTTTAGATCAATTTTTTAAGTTCATGATTGACAGGGCAGATGTGCTAGAGGCTATGTCTCGCAGTAAATCAGACAGTTCTAATGTAATTAAGCCCCAAGCGCAGCCTGTACGCAATAATTACAATCAAAGATCAGGTCAAAATACTTACACAAAATCATTTGCTAGTAGTGTTCGCACTAACAATAACAACAACTCAAGTAATTTTACCACAAAATTATATTGCATAATTTGTAATGAAAATCATAAG